GTGGCTGCAGACAATCAAATTCATGGCAGCAACACATGCTACCTTATTTCCTCTTGCCTTCCCAATTGTCTCTTACTCATCTCTTATACCAGAACCTTTTCACCTTTCTGTAACCATAAAACAAAATTCTCCATACAATTAACTCATGTTAGAAGAGGTGAGGCGTACTAATAGCACTTAGCTCCATTTTCCTAGGATCTTACCCTAGCAGAAACTCCCTGAATTCATGAAAGCTCAACCTTTTCAACATGTGGAGCATGAATTAGGAGAAGTGCAAGTCTAGAGTGAGATTGACTAATAGGGAAAACAGTTGTAATAATAGTAGGGAAAGATATTTCTCAAATTAATATTTGGGAGACAAGGTAAAGAGAATTTCTGAATTTCTTTAAGCAGTTGTATTAACTGCGATGCTATCCAGTGATGGAGGAATTCCAGAAGTGGAGAATCTCAGCTTTTGTATGGGAGTAAGTCCAAACATTAGTCCAACAATGCTAAGCTCATTATTGAACCACAGCTGGGTTGGTATTGAAAATGTCTCAGGATGGGGGGTCCGCTAAGAACAGGACACCAAGGCAAAAATAACAGCTCAGCAAGGCAGAGTTTACTTCTGCAGAAGGGTATGCACTGACAAGAAGCCAATTAAGCAAAAATTTGTGTGGGCCATCCACCCAGGTTTTATCACTAGTTTACTGCCCTTCGTTCAGATTGATCACAGGTTCACAATCTTGTAGAATTGACTAGTTTGAAAAGAGTCAAAAGTTTACCAAGTAATCAACCAAAACCAGAACATCTGGCCAAAACTTGTCAGAAAAACAGTTCTTACTCAGCTGGCACTTTACCACTTGAGCAATGGCTCCAGCCCCTAGAAAATAATTTTTATTACAAGATTTGGCTTAAAGAGCTTCTTGTAAGATAGCAGTGACACTTAAAATGGCAATGCTTATGTCAAACAACCACTTTGTCAGAAAAGATTCTAACTCCTACAGTTGGTTTTAGAATGGAAATAAGAAGCTGGGTACCAGTGGCTCATGTCTGTAATCCTATCTACTCAAGAGGCTGAGATCTGAGGATCACAGTTCAAAGCCAGCCCAGGCAGGAAAGTTCATGAGACTCTTATCTCCAATAAGCCACCAGAAAACCGAAAGTGGCGCTGTCGCTCAAAGTGGTAGAGAGCTAGCCTTGAGCTGAAGAGCTGAGGGACAGCACCCAGACCCAGAGTTCAAGCCCCACAACTGACAAAAAAAAAAGAATGGACATAAGTTACACAAGGGGAAATTTGCTGTAGAGTTTTGGGAATAGGTTTTTGCTATGGTTTGTGTTGGAAACCTAATCTCCATTGTGATTATACTAAGAAGTGGAGTTTTATGAGGTAATGAAGTCATGAAGTCCTGAAGTAAAGAGCCCTTTTGAAAGGAGCTGAGGTTGAAAGGGGAACATTTTTTATGTTTTTGCCAGTTTGCCTTCGGCCATGTGTTGATGCAGCAATACTGCCCTTAATCAGGTATTGGTGTTCAGAAATGTTAGAAAACAGAAAACTGTCAAATATTCTGTTATAATAGCACAGATTAAAAGGGCTTTTTTCACTCATTAAAAAGAGACACCCAGTAACTCAATGGATTTCTCTGTGTCTGCATGTGACAAGTAAACTATAGAAGGTATTTTAAGATCATAAATGAAAAATAAAGCCAATATGCTGAAAGTATTAGAATAGGAAGATCTAGAAGGAATCTGACTCTTTGATAGTTATGGTTAGCTGCTGAATTGCAACAATCACACCTGAGACTTTTTGTTGTTGGAAATAGTCCCTTATAACTTAAGCCAGGTGAGGCTCCTATTATGTGCAACCCAAAATGCCTTAAGAGATACAGAATTACCCTTTCTTCTTTTTCTTTTTTTTTTTTTCCGGTCATGGGGCTTGAACTCTGGGACAGAATTACCCTTATAAGAGAAACTTCTGGCCAAGCCTGTTGATCATTTGGATTGAAGACCTTTGAGACTGAATCCTTGGTCCAACCAATGGCTCAGAACAATTCACCATGAAAGAGTAAACTGACAGAGCTGAATGTTTTGAAAATTATCTCCACTAAAATAATACTTTTTAAATTTCCATTTTAGTTCTATCAATATTAAGACATGGAATTTTAATTTTTACTTCCTGCATATAACTTAACAGTTATTGTGTGTCTATTCTTGCTCAAGACGGCTGTCATATTCAGCAATAGAATAGGACCTAGGTCATGAGAGAAGTTTACAGCTTTGTCAAAGCCCATTGACAGAGCACAGGAAATAAAACTCAACCAAACAGGAAGTAGGCAGAATAGAATAGAGCAGCAGGAAATATTTGTGTCTCACGTAAGATTGTCTATCTATAGAACACAAGAACCAACAAAACAATTAGGGTGAAAAGCTTTAATTTGTAAATATTTAAAGAGGATTACAAATAGAGGGGAAATGAACAAGGAAGTAAAGGGAAGAGAAATAATGTCCTTACCAGAACAATTATTGAATAGACTAAAGAATGTTGTCTGCACAGGTAGCGGTAGTTTTAAAACATTTCTGCAAATTCCTTGACCATCCTCCCATGAAGAGGGAGGATCTCTGGCCCCTCCTTTTGAATCTGGGCCAAACCATAGTGACTACTTGATCTGTAAAGTATGGCAGATGTCATGCTAGGTTAATTTCCAGGTTGTGTGAAAAGTAATATAGATTCTCCTTGGTTATCTGGATCCTGCATTAGACCCTTTAGCTACTGTGTAAGAAACATTACTGCCCTGAGCCCACCTGCTCAAAAGAAGCAGAAATAATCTATGTAGCATTACAGACCACATAGAGAGTATCCCACCTGTAAAAAAAGAGATGCCTAACTATCCTAAGCTCTCCTAGGTCAATTTTTTTTTGACTCCTACTACTGTCTGATTGCAATTACATGAAAGATCCTAGGGCAGAGCCACCTATTGGGGATCTTCCTGAATTCCTGACCTACAGAAACCATAAGAGATCACAAAATGATTGTTATTTTAAACTAATAAACATTGGATATTTGTTAAGTAACAGTAATTAACCAGGACTATAGATAAGGTGATTTAAATGCTATGGTTCTTTGTTAAGTTGGGAAAGAACTCAAAGGCCCAAGGGATGTCATTATACCCAATTACTATTTCAATCAAGGTGGTGTTTCCAGTCAAAGGACTTGTTACCAAAAATAAAAGCAAATAAATAATTGGTTATATCCAATAAAGTTTTAAAAACTCTTGATCTCAGTATCTGAAAGAACCTGTCTAAAAAAAAAAAAAAAGAACCTGTCTAAGAGGAAAAAAATGTTGATTGTAAAAGAATACAACAGGTAAAACAAAATGTTTAAATATTATGCCCTATTTCTCAAGAGAAATCTGTGTAAATCATTTTCTTTTCACCAATAAACTGAGTACTAGATATGGCTCCCTGGCTGTATTTCCTTTCCAAAATTTTAAATGATTGAACATTGTGAGACCTGCAAGGTAGTACCTAGCTCATAGGGACCTTAAATAAGTTTATGGTTTTTGAGGTCCTGAGCTGTTACTTTTGTATGGTGCTCAATCCAAAGTGGCTGCACATACCTGCTGCCAAGTGCCTTGCAAAAGAAAAGAAATCATTGAATGGAGGCTCTTTGTCCTGAGCAATGGGAGAAAGATGTCTTAGATAAGAGAGTTTTATTGTCTGGTGCTACATCCCAATGAACCCTCCTGGCACATGCTTGTGATCTCAGCCACTCAGGAGGCAAAGGCAAAAGAATCAGACTTTGAGGCCAGCCTGGACAAAGTTTGCAAGGTCCTATCTCAAAAACAAAATACAAACCAAAGGCTAGATATGTGGCTCAAGTGGTAGAATGTTTGTCTAGCCCATGAGAGGCCCTGGACAGATCTTCAGTCCTGAAAACAAAACAACAACAACAAAAGGCCTGATCTTTTGCAAGACAAATCTTTTAGTCTGTATCAGTAATGTAAGTAAACATTCAAACAACACGGAAAGACTTGATTCCTGTGCACCTTCTAACTTCTGATGTGTAGTTTGGAGCATTTCACTATGAAGTCAGAAGAGTTCACTGGGCTACCTGCCAGCCCAGGGAACATCCTGAAATATTCCCAGAGTAGAAGTACCAACACTGCTGTGTTGAAGATGGTAATGCTTGTCTCCTCCACAATGACCTTGGGAAGAATGTCCTTTGCTGTGTGTACTGGTGCATTTGTGGCTGCATATTGTTGCAATCACCCGTCAAGGAATATCTTCAGGACAGGATACAACACACCAAGAAGCACATCACAGAGCAAATAGAAGAGACAAAGGGGGAATATATAGTGGAATATATAATACTATATAACAAGTTATAGAAAAGTATTGCACTTTAGCCCTCTGGAGACTTTGGGGCAAAAACAAATGCTTTTAAATAGTTATTATTAGTTGCTGAAAGATGCTAGTTCTCTGAGAGTTAAAGAACTAAGGTACCTTCTTTTCATTGCTACTTGGAAATTCCCTGGCTAAATTAGAAAAGGATGCTTAGCTTTCTCTAGAGAAGAGTTTAGCAAACTTTTTCCATGAAGGTCCCATAGAAAATATTTCAGAGTTTGCCAGCAAATAGGCAGTACTGTGACTATTCTATTTACTATAGATAAGGGTTCATATAACAAGAAAGAACACTTTTTTATGGCTTTAAGAATTTTCCAACCGTTTATGTTTATTGGCATTTGACCCCTGGGCAAGCATACAGCAAGCCCTTCAACAAGTAGAAAAAACAGTACCTTCCTTCAACTGAGGCCATGAGAATCCACCATTCCAAGCCTTCCCACTCTACCATAGTCCACCGCCCAAGGACAGGATCTGCTATTCTTTGAACAGTCTGATGATTCTCAGAGTTGAAGAGCAGGGGTTTTGAAGTTCGGTCTCTTCAAATTCCGTAACAAAAACAAAGCAGAGGCAGAAGGTGGACAGCAAAGATGTCGGCAGTCCTGCATCTTGCTAGGTCTTTAGGATTTGTAGGCCACTCCTTGACTTGTTAGCTCCCGTACAATTCCTTGGGGCAGGCGACCAGTGACTGACACGGTATATACACCGGGCTTCAAGTTACTAACTCGCTGCCACTGGAAGACCCAGCTGTCCTCTGGACTCATTGCAATGATTCCATCAAAGGAAGAACTGGTGCAGTCATATACCATTTCTCTGTTACCCTTCATTTGTAGATATGCATCACAATGATCACATCCATCGTATTCAAACTGGTCTATAGTCTTGACCAGCGAACACAGCAGACGCGAACACAGCAGACACGCCCGCAGATGCCGCAGATCCTTCCGCACTGTCTCCAGGGTCATCTTCGGGGAAGGGAAAAACAGCTGGAGTCACGGCTTCCACACCGCCGGAAGTAAACAGCCAATTACCAGAACACATTTTTGTTGTGATTTTTTGTATTGTAAAGATACTGTACAGAGGGGTTACAGTTACATGCTAAGGTCATGAGTAAATTTCTTATTGAGCATTGTTACCCTTTCTTTTATTTTCCCCCTACTATCCCTTCCCTCTCCACCTCCTAGACTCCTCCCCCCAAGTTGTAAAGTTCGTTTTCAACATAGTGTCTTGTAGGTCTCATTACTACTATGGGTCAACCTGTATCCTTGTTTCAGCATTTTGTTATTTCCCTTCCCCTCCCCCAATTAGAAAAATGTATATACAAGATGCAGGGCACCAGAATCAAATACAGTGACAACAGGGGTTATACCATGGGGGAAGAACATACAAAAGAAACAAAAAAATCACAAAGTATAGCAACAAAGAAAAAAAATCTCTTGTGTCTTGGGAAGACCACATTTTTATGAGAAACTGAAGTAAAGGTTTAAAAAAAGAGTGGAGCCAAGTGCCAGTGGCTCATGCCTTAATCCTAGCTACTCAGGAGGCTGAGATCTAAGGATTGCAGTTCCAAGCCAGCTTGGGCAGGAAACTCTATGAGATTCTTATCTTTAATAAACTACTCAAAAAACCTGGAAGTGGTGCTGTGGCTCAAGTGGTAGAGCAAAAGAAGCTCAGGGACAGCACCCAGGCCCAGAGTTCAAGCCCCACAGCCAGCAATTAAAAAAAAAAAACAGGCTGGGAATGTGGTTTAGTGGTAGAGTGCTTGCCTAGCATGCACAAAGCCCTGGGTTCAATTCCTCAGCACCACAAACAGAAAAAGCTGGAAATGATGCTGTGGCTCAAGTGGTAGAGTGCTAGCCCTGAGCAAAAAGAAGCCCAGGGACAATGCTCAGGCACTGAGTTCAAGCGCCAGGACTTGCCCCCCCCCCAAAAAAAAAAGACAACAAAAAAAGAGTGGAATAGGGTAACATATAAAAAGATACATGTTTCAGCTGGGTGCCAGTGGCTCATGCCTATAATCCTATCTACTCCAGAGACTGACCTCTGAGGATCATGGTTCAAAGCCAGCCCAGGCAGGAAAGTCCATGAGACTCTTATCTCCAATAAACCACCAGAAAAGCAGAAGTGGCGCTGTGGCTCAAGTGGTAGAGTGCTAGTCTTGAGCTGAAGAACTGAGGGACAGTGCCCAGGCCCAGAGTTCAAGATCCATGACTGACACACAAAAAAAAGAAAAATATACTTTTTGATTGTTTTTTATCAATGAAATTAAACACATAATAATATTTAAAAATAATATAGGTCTTCTATTGAGAAGAACTGACTTCCTTTTTTGGAAAATAACATTTAACTTAATTGAGGTTCAAAATTAGTGTTCCCATCATTAAATTGATTGCAAATGTGCTTTGGGGGGAAAAGAGCTCATAGATCATAGAACAGTGAGCAGTGGGCTGGATTTGGACTGTAGATCTTAGTTTGCCAATCTCTGCTCCTAGAGGAATAAATTCCTAAAGGTTGAAATTTGTTTCCATAAGTCTTTTAAACAAAGTATCATAAACAGGGTGACTTAAAGAAATAATTATACATGGTCTCTCTGCTGTGGAGAGTAGAGGTCTGAAATTAAGTTGTCAGCAGGACCATATTCCTAAATCTCTTGAGAGGTCATTTCTTTTCCTCATCCTTTTTTTTTTTTTTGTCAGTCCTGGGGCTTGAATTCAGGGCCTGGGCATCATCCCTTAGCTTTTATGTTCAAGGCTGGTGCTCTACTATTTGAGCCACAGTTCCACTTCTTCCACATTATTTATTTTATTTTTTGAGTAGTTAATTGAAGATATGAGTCTCATGAACTTTTCTGTCCAGGCTGGCTTCTCACCCTGATCCTCAGATCTCATCCTCCTAAGGATGAACACTGTGCCTAGCCCTCATCCAGGTTTTGGTATATTCATGGCAGCATAAATCAGATCTCTGATTTATGTGGCCATCTTCCCTCTACATCTACGTGTTTTGTCTCTTTTTCTGATCAGATAGCAGTCATAATCTAATTAGGTATGAGCATATCTTAATTAATTTTATCTTCAAGGAATGGGACTCCATCTCTAAAGAAGATAGCCCTTAAATATATGTCTTGAGGGAGTCCAACTCAATCCACAGTACCAATGGACAGAATACCATGGAAGATTCTTAGGGCAGTGATGGTATTGATAGTCAAACAATTTATTTTAGTTTTTATCTTAGGAAGTACCTGTATCCCTAGAGAAAACAGTGCCATCCTTTACAGTTCTAAACACTTGGGCACTTTTTTTATGTAGTAGGCATTTTCATTTGAAATATGTCAGTGATTGAGAAAAGGGCTAGAAATCAGTCTTGGAAGCTCCATAATATAGTGGAGACCCTAGAAAATTGGAGTTTTTGTTTTCTAAAATTTGCTTCTACCTTTCTCATTTTTGTTTGTTTGGGACAGGCTCTTGTTATGCATCCAGGAACTTGATATTGGGAAGTTCTAGGAAGGACAGGGGAGGGAACTCTTACCAGAACTGTAGCTAAGCTGGAGGTCCTGCCTAACAGGAAGAAGGTGGAGGAAAGAAGCAGTGCCAAAATTCCTGCCCTTGTTGGTCAGGGTGAGGTTGGTTTGGGGTGGGCAGAAGTGGTATGAATACATACTTGTCTCTATACTCTTCCTCTTCTGAGCTCCTTCATTTCCATTGGCAAAGCCTGCTAGAAGCCAGAGAACTATACTGACTTGGGAATGTAATCTCCGGCAATTAAGGCACAGAGTAGGGCAGAAGAGGGTGGAGAAGGTGCCATCAAAAAAGAACCAGCATAATCTGAGCATGGTGGGTCAAGGTTCTAATCCTAGCTATTTGGGAAGTGAAGATTAAGGGATCATGGTCAGAAGTCAGCCTGGACATAAAAATTGACGAGTCTCTCCATCATTCAATGGTTGGGTATGGTGGCAGGTGTCTACCATCCCCATTGCCATAGGGATGCACAAATAGGAAGAACACAGCCTGGGCTTAAAGCAAGACCCTGCTTCAAAAATAACCAATCCAAAGGGAGACTGGAGGCAGAGTTCAGGCAAGCTAGAGTGCCTGCTTTGCAAGCATGAGGCCCTGAATTCATTGCCAATATTGTCAACAACAACAAGAGAAAAGAGAAGAAAAAAGAAAAGTACAGGGTGGAAGAGCTAGAGAGAGGACAAGAGCTGTCCCTGCTAGGCGAGCAGAGAAGGTCTCAGAGGTAAGGCCTGGAGACATACTGCTTTGATCCCACCTATGAAGCTAACCTTCCCAACCCTCCTCATAAAAGCTGCTTCCTCTTTTGGGTCTCTCCTACTGGTGGGTTGTTTAACTTCTGCTTCAAGAATGGGAGCAAATATATATACTGAATTAAACAATCAGGGCCTGGGATGGGAATTATTGCTATCCCATTTCATAATCCCCTATTTCCTCAGTTGTATTGGCCAACTGGTGCAGCAGAAGATAGGGTCAGAGATCAAATAATGTTGGAACTGTGTGTCATGAAATCTGATGGTGACACAAGGCCAACAAAATTAAATGTCCTAAATACCTTTCTTTCATTGCATTATGTCGCTGATCCTAAGATGTGAATTTTCTCCCTTCACATTTTAAGTCTCTGGGATTCATATTACAGTTTCTTTATGAGGCTGCAGTTAAGATACCCACTTGCACAGCAGGTATCATAATGTAGAAGACAGCCCTAGAGAAAGAACACAGCATTCTGCCATAAAATGCTCCACTATCAGTGCTCTTGGTGATGCAGAAGGTGACACTACTTAAGATGCACCCAGACCATTTGGATTTAAAACAAACAATTCAATCACAGTGTCAGAGAATAAACCAGTGATTTCATGGCCTGGGAAGGTAGGAAGATAGGATTTTGTTAGGAGGTGATAGAAATTTGTAACCATGTAACAATGGTAATAGGATTTGATCTCAGGGTCTCAGACTTGCAGACAGATGTTTTTACCACTTGAGCAACAGCTCAGAACTTTCTGCTCTAGTTATGTTTTGGATAGGGTTTCACACTTTTGTTCAGATGAGCCTCAGACTGCAATTCTCCTACCTATGCCTCCTATTTAGCTGGGTTCATAGCTATTAATTAAGATGAGGTCTCATTAACTTTTGCCTGGGCTAGTCTTGAACCATACACCTCCCAACCTCTGCTTCCTGAGTATCTGGGATTATAGGCATGAGCCACTTTGCCTGGCTTCATTTTTTAAAGGGGTATTTTTTGGTATGTGAATTAAATATCAATGTTTAAGAAGTGATTAAGAAAGCCAGGCACTCTCTTATCTCTCTTACCAGGTATTTATGAAAATAAACTAAGGTTATATGTCTATCATGTTTAGACACAGTAAAGACTCATTGAACACTAGTTGTCTTAGCTACAAGAGATGTAGAAAGAACCTCCATCTGAGGGGGGCCCAGACAAAAGAGCAAAATCCTATCCAAACTATAATTAAAGTAAAAAAAGGGATGGAAATGTGGCTCAAATAGAGAGTTTCTGCTTAATGAGCATAAGCCCTGAGTTCAAACCTCAGTATTGAAAAAAAAATGTGATTCAAAACATGGAGGGAGGGGCTAGGAAGGTGGCTCAGTGGTAGAGCGCTTGCCTTGCATGCCTGAGGCCCTGGGTTTGATTCCTCAGCACCACATAAGCAAAAAGAAAAAAGCTGGAAGT